TAGAAACGTGCACAGCATCACCCTTCGTGCTTTACCACTCAGCCTCGCCAGATAATCAATAATAGATACGTGCACGGCATCACCCTTCGTGCTTTAACACTCAATCTCACCATATGAATAATAGAAATGTGCACGGCATCACCCTTCGTGCTTTATCACTCTTCCTCACCACATAAACAAACAGCAGAAACAATAACAACCCGACAAGGGCACCATAATTAAACAACTTGTTTCATTACTTAACTTCACAACACGAATCTCAACTTGAGCCAATACTCAACCAATATCCAAAAGCCAGGAAAAACATAATAAGACTTGTTTAACATAGATGATAACCAGCTTAAGCAAGAACAAAAGGAATAAAGGAACACAACGGCCACAAGTATAAGACTAACTCACATGCTACGACCTGACAACAACGTATAGATACTCGTCACCTCACCTATACGTCGTACTTAACAAAATAAACATGTAGCAAATAAGGCAACAATACCTAATCCCTCAAGCTAAGGTTAGCCGCAACACTTACCTCGATTCCACGGCCAAACTCAAGCCTCAAATACCCCTTTTCCCTTAGTTTCCACATCCAATCCGCCCGAATCTATTCATAATTAACTTATTAACATCAATTAAGCTAAAGAAACCAATTCTAATGCAAAATTATAGATTTCCCAACAATTCCCCAAAAACTCAAAAATTCGACCCCGGGCTCGCTTGGTAAAAACTCAAGGTTCGAACCAAAACCCGATTACCCATTCACCCACGAGCCCAAATATTTAATTAGTTTCTGAATCCGACCCTAAATAGAGGTCTAAATTTCCAAATTTGCAAAGTTCCCAATTCTCCCAAAATCCCTAATTTCTATCTTGAAAGAACAAGGTTTAGGCCTAGAAATCTAATGGGTGTTGATGGAAATTGAAAGAATTGAGTTTAAGAACACAAACCTATGATTTGGTGTTGAAATCCCTCTTCAAGAATCACCCTAGGTCGAGTTTTAATGGAAGAAATATGAAATTATGGAAGACTCCCGTTTTTTATTCTATTTTTAAAACACTGGACAGACCTTCTTCGCATTCGCGAAGCTGCGGTCCTACTGACCTTCGCGTTCGCGAGACACCCTACGTATTCGCGAAGGTATATCTCCCCTAACATTCGCGTTCGCGAGCCGCTGGCTGCGTTCGCGTAGAGTATCATTCCCCTCCCCCAGTTCCCATTCTTCGCGTTCACGAAGGGTAATGCCCCCAACACTTCGCGTTCGCGGCCAGTGCCTCGCGTTCGCTTAGAACGATTTCTCCTCCAGACCAATCTACCCTTCGCGTTCGCGAGATTTCCTTCGCGAATGCGAATAAGGATGTACCAAATGACAGCAGAAGCCAAAACACCAAAAAATTTCAAGTCTAAAACATCCCGTAGCCTATCCGAAACTCACCCGAGCCCTAGGGGCTCCAAACTAAACATGCACACAAGTCTAAAAACATCATACGGACTTGCTCGTGCGATCAAATCGCCAAAATAACATCTAAAACTACGAATTTAGCACCAAAATCAATGAAATTCTCAAGAACACTTAAAGTTTCTATTTTCACAACTGAGGGTCCGAATCACGTCATATAAACTCTGTTTCTCACCAAATTCCACAGACATGACTTAAATACCATATTAAACATGTACCGGGCTCCGGAACCAAAATACGGGCCCGATACCAACAAGATCAAGCATTATTAAATTTCTAAAAACCATTATAATTTCATTTTAACAATTTTCTTCAAAAATTCATTTCTCGGACTAGGGACCTCGGAATTCAATTTCGGGCATATGCCCAAGTTTCATATTTTCCTACGGACCCTCCAGGACCGTCAAATCACGAGTCCGGGTTGTTTACTTAAAATATTGACCGAAGTCAACTTAAATCAATTTTAAAGGCGAAACTTAATATTTTCTCAAATTTTCACATAAAGGCTTTTCCAGAACCGCGCCCGGACTGTGCACAAAAATTCAGGAGAAGAAAAATGAGGTCGTGAAGGCCTTGGAACCCCGAATTGGGTTCTAAAATACGAGATAACCTTTTGGGTCATCACAAATACGAATGTGGGCTGAGACCCGTATTATTTATGATTATAAATGAGGTGTCATAGGATGACTTTTATTTGAAAGAATTATATTCAAATATTGTTTGAAAGAATTATATTCGAAAGATATTTATTTGAAAGAATTATATTCGAAATATATTTATTTGAAGAAAGTATATTCGAAATATATTTATTGGAAATGATTATATTATAAAGATTTTTATTTGAAAAACTTATAGATGAAAGATGTATATTTTATAGAACTTGATTATTGGTTGTACTTGTGTTCATTATTGTTTGAGAAATATTTATGGTGTTCTTGCTGTTTATATCACTGGTTGATTATTATTGTTATCATTGCTATTAGCTTCCTATTATTTTTATATAATATACTGCACAGGTTATTAGACTAGTGAGTGTCTTGACTGTACCTCGTCACTACTCCATCGAGGTTAGTCTTGATACTTACTGGGTACCGACTGTGGTATACTCATACTATACTTCTGCATATTTTTGTGCAGAGCCAGGTATTGGAAATATCGGACTCGATCAGAGTTAGAGTTTGATCGCAAGGATTCAAGGTAGAGCTGCTTGGTCGTCGCAGTCCCTTGGAGTCTTTCTATTTTATTGTACTGTCAATTCTTATTCGAACAGTATTGTGTATTCGATACTCGAGGTCATTTCATGTATTCAGTTAGAGTTCGTGATTCTGTATCACCAGTCTTGGGAGGTTGTTTGAATATTTCCGCTGTTGGTTTCGATTATCAATTTTTTTTAAAAATGGTTTGAATTGTTATTATAATTGGCTTACTTAGTCTTAGAGACTAAGTGCCATCACGACGTTTGTGGTGGAATTTTGGGTCGTGACATATATATATATATATATATATATATATATATATACACACACACACACACACACACACACACACACACATACACACTAGCACAAAAACTAGATAATTCTGTAATAGCAATGTATTGTAATTGTAATCTATCTATATTTGTATCTATATATATAAATAAGAACGACAAAAATATCCTTGTAATGTTGATCGACTTTTATACCCTTAGAACTAAATTATTATTTCTTATAAATAACTCCATGTTGGATAAAATTGTAAAATTAAACATTAGTTCATAATATTTAGGACTTTTGTAAACATCTGTAGATCGAAAGATTTGAAGAAAAATAACTAGGGTTTAAGAGAAAGTGAGAGAAGAATCGAGAAGCATCTGTTCATTCTCCTTCAAAAATAATATCCATCATTACCTACATCTGATGCTAAAAGCTATATATATACAAGGGTAAAATTGGTAATCCACTCCACTACTTGGGCCACTGCCCGACCAACTTATTAAGAAACCAACAATTGGGCTTAGCCCAGTACAAATAAATACAAAAGTGGCCCAATCCTTCAAGTAATAGCACTATCTCTAATACCCCCCCCCCCCCCCTCAAGTTGGAGGGTGTGCAGACACCCAACTTGCCAAGCAAAAAATGATGAGAAGCACCTGCAAGAGACTTAGTAAATACATCAGCGGGCTGGGAAGCAGTATTAATGTGACTCAAAGATATTAAACCATCAGCCAACTTAGTGCGGATGAAATGGCAATCGAGCTCAATGTGTTTGGTGCGCTCGTGGAAAACCGGATTCTTAGCAATATGAATCACAGCCATACTGTCACAAAAAATAGGTATAGGTGCTGATAGAGGCATACCTAGATCAGAAAACAAACGAGCCAACCAAGACAATTCAGCCACAACTTTACTTAGGGCCCTGTATTCTGCTTCAGCAGAAGAGAGAGACACCACCTGCTATTTCTTAGACTTCCAGCTTATTAAACTACCTCCAAAAGAAACACAGAAACCAGTAATAGACTTGCGAGTCTCAGGGCAGGCTGCCCAGTCACTATCACAATAGCCATGGAGAGAAAGATCAGAAGAATTGTTCAAAAAAATACCAACATCAGGAGTACCCTTTAAGTACCTTAAAACATGTAATGCAGCTTCCGTATGAGGAACACGAGGGGTCTTAAGAAATTGACTAAGATGTTGCACAGCAAAACATAAGTCAGGCCTAGTATGAGTGAGAAAGTTGAGTTTACCAATTAAGCTCCGATAAGTATCAGGCCTAGGCAAGACATCCCCAACCGCAGAATGTAACTTGGTGGACAAAGCAAGAGGACACACAACAGGAGAGACATCTGAACACTTAAACTCAGTCAATAGGTCAGAGATAAATTTTCTTTGGTGGAGAAGAACCCCTGAGGAATGATAAAGCACCTCAAGCTAAGAAAATAGTTAAGGTGGCCCAAATCCTTGATTTTAAATTTAGCATCCAGAAAACTCTTTAAGGCAGTAATTTCAGCTATATCATTGCCAGTGAGGATGATATCATCCACATATACAGCAATGAAAACAGAGGAAGCAGCAGTTCTTTTGAAAAATAATGAATAGTCATTCAAAGAATGAGTGTACCCTCTAGAACAAAGAGACTGAGAGAGCTTTGCATACCATTGCCGAGAAGCTTGTCGCAAACCATACAAGGATTTCTTTAATTTGCAAACCAAACTAGGAGAAGAAGAAGAAGAAGAAGAAGAAGAAGGAAGAGAAGAATCAACAGATAAACCCTGCGGCAATTTCATGTAGACTTCCTCATCTAAGTCCCCATGTAAAAATGCATTATTCACATCCAATTGAAACAATGACCAATTATGTTTGACAGCAAAAGCAATGAGGCACCTAACAGTACACATCTTTACAACTGGTGAAAATGTTTCAGCAAAGTCTACACCCTCTACTTGAGTGTCACCTCTAGCTACGAGCCTTGCTTTATACCTCTCAACAGAACCATCAGCCTTATACTTAATTTTGTAAACCCATTTGCACCCAATTGGTTTCTTACCTTGAGGCAAGTCAACAATGTCCTATGTGTGATTAGCCTCCAAAGCCTCAAACTCTTTTTTCATTGCCTCTTGCCAAGCAGGACTTATAGCAGCCTGATGGTAAGAATGAGGCTCAACTGCAGCAGTTGGTGCAGCAATAGTGGTGGTAGTAGAGGAGCAGAAAGAGGGAGGAAGGGATACTACATAATCCTGAAGGTGAGAAGGAAGATTGTGAGTTCTGGTTGATTTCCTAGGAGCAGCAGGACTGGAAGAAATAGGTGAAGGAGAGGAGTGATCTAGAGATGAATCAGATTGGGGAGAAAAAGAAAAACTGGAAGGAGGAGAAGTAGGAGTAGAAATAGGTGAAGAAGGAGAAATAGGTGAAGAAGGGGGGAAGGAAGGAGGAAGAGAAACATCAACAGCTGAAGAACCAGAAGGGTCGGAAATGATAGGAGATGGAGAAAGAGGCAAAGGAGAAGGTATAGAATAAGGAGAGTCTGATAGATGAAATGGAAAAACAACTTCATGAAAATGGACATCTCTGGAATTAAGTACAGACTTGTTTTGCAAATTGTAAAGCTTATAGCCCTTCTTCCCAAAAGGGTAACCAATGAACACACAAGGGACAGCCCTTGGCTGAAATTTGTCCCTTTGACACTTGGGAACTGAAGCATAGCAAAGGCAGCCAAAAGGTTTCAAATGGTTATAGGATGGTACAGCACCATATAAAAGTTTAAAAGGAGTTTTGTGTGATATTACAGTTGAGGAAAATCTATTTATAAGATAAGTGGCAGTTAATACGCAATCCCCCCAGAATTTGGTGGGAAGTTTTGACTGAAATAAAAGAGCCCTTGAAGTTTCTAAAAGATGTTTGTGTTTGCGCTCAACCACACCATTTTGTTGAGGTGTGTGGGGGCAACTTGTTTGGTGTAAGATCCCATTATCAGAAAAAAAATTGGGACATGGAATGAGAAGAGCCAAGTTCTAGGGCATTGTCACTTCTAATAGTTTTAACAGGGAGGTTGAATTGTGTTTGGACCATTGCAATGAAAGCCTTGAGAAGAGGAAAAGCATTACTTTTGGCATGCATTAAATGAGTCCAAGTGGCTCTACTATAATCATCCACAATTGTTAAAAAATATTTTGCGCCAGTATATGTTTGTGTATGATATGGTCCCCAAATATCAATATGAATTAGTTGAAACAAGGAAGTGGAACAAGAGGTACTATCTGGAAAAGGCAATCTAGATTGTCTAGCTAGAGGACAAATTGGGCAAATGAAAGATTGCTTAGAGGAAATATTAGGAGAAATAGCAGGAATGGCCTTCATTTTAGCAAATGGGATGTGACCCAATCTATGATGCCAAAGAATATCAGAACTGGTTACAGCATTCACAGAATTCATACAAGAAACATCAGACTTTACACAAGAAAGAGTAGAAGTAGTACTGTCAGACACAACAGGGGCATTATTATTCAAAGGTGTATTAATTGCAACTGATGTAGTATCATTTAGTAAAGAGGTAGGGGATGAATGCATGGAGAGTACATTAGTAGCTAAATCTGAAATAGAGATACAATTCAGTTTAGGGAGAACAGTAGAATGACTAGAAGTGGAAGAGCTAGAAGTGGTAAGTGGAAGAAGCTTGTAAATACCATGGTACACTCTACCAAGTTCCAGAAGCTTCTTCCTGGAAGGGTCCTGTATATAACAGGAAAAAGATGTGAAAAGGACAAAATTGTGAAACTATTGAATCAACCTATAAACAGATATGAGATTATATTGAAATGATGGAATATAGAGCACATGATGCAAAACAAAGGAAGGAGACAAAGTAAGTGAACCAGTGCATGTTACTTTCACTTTGTAACCATTTGGCAAAGAAACTAAATAGGGTACAGGAAGTGGTTTAATGTCAAAAAGGAAATCTTTACTAGATGTCATATGGTCAGTTGCTCCTGAATCTACTATCCAAACACTCCTAACAGCACTAGACAACATGCAAGCAGCAAAGCTATCACAATCAGGCAAAGGTTGAGCAGAAATGTTACCAGCAAAGTTTGCAGATCCCATAAGATTTGTTTGAGAGGCAGAGTCCAAAGTTGAACTTTGCAGAAGCATCAACAGTTGACTGCACTGTTCTTTTGTCAATCCAGGTATGATAGATTCTTGACCAACAGATCCGGAAGTAGTAGGGGCATCAGGAACTCCAGAAGTAGAAGATTCAATGTTGGCAGCAGTACCATACTTCCTGCCTTTTGTGAATTTAAAGTTCTGTGGAAAACCATGCAGCCTGTGACATGTCTCAATGGTATGGTTAGTCTTCTTGCAGTACTTGCAGAATAATGATCCCTTATGCTGCCTAAGATTCATCCTTTGATTGGAGTGATCAAAATTAATTCTCTGATTGTATTGTTTATTAGGACTTGGTTGAGAAGGAGGTTTATTGTTGGCACTCGCATGAAAAGAAGCCATATCAGAACTAAAATGAGTGGTAGGAAGGACTTGTCTTTGTTTTTCATCTTGTAAGAGAATGTTATAAACATTGTCAAGTGAAGGCAGTGGGTTCATGAGCAGAATGCTGCTTCTAACATTAACATATATCTCGTTCAACCCCATTAGAAATTGATGCACCCTATTCTCTTCTTCTTCCTGCTCCAGACCAGGCTTAGCAGCACAATTACAATTTTTTGCATGATTGGAAGACATGACTGTAAGTTCATCCCAAAGCTTCTTCAACTTGTTAAAATAAGATGCAATATCAAGAGCCCCTTGACATGTAAAAGCCAACTCCCTCTTAATTTCGAATTTCTTAGTTCCATTAACTGTTCCATACCTAGTATTTAATTGCCTCCAAATACTCTCAGCAGTCTCCGAATATTGAACACTTTCTGCAATTTCAGGGGACAGTGAGCTTGTCAACCAGGAAATTACCATGTTGTTCACCCTATCCCACTGTTTGCACTCGGGTGAATTAATAGGAGGCCTAGGGGGAGTTCCATCGATAAAAGCTATCTTATTTCTAGCTGAAAGAGACACGATGATGCTCCATTTCCAACCTCCAAATCCAGTACCGGAGAAAGGAACACCAACCAGTGATGTACCAGGGACATCACTAGGATGAAGGAACAGAGGACTTGAAGCACGAGGAGTAAATTCAGACTGATTACTAGTAGTATCACCCATTTCGTGAATTAATACCAATACAATTCAAACAACCAAAATATAGAGATTGTATAACACTACCTCAGTTCAATATATGCAATGAAGATGAAGTCGAACAGGAAAGAGAATCGATGTTACCCGAATTCTTCACAACTGGAAAACACGTCCTTCAAGTACCTTTTGAAATAATTTTTGAACGCAATTCACAGTTGATCAACAGTCTTTGACAGCAATGGACGTAGTATAAGAGGCTGAACTCTGAAGAAGCTGAAAAATCACGGAAACTCTCGAACCAGTAGATGATGAAAAATTCAAAAAAAATAACCGTTCCTTGCTGGAATACTTAGAAGATTAGCGAAAATCCAAAGAGAAACAAGCTTCATCGGCAAAAAACTCGAACGACGGCAAAATCGAGAAATCGATGCTCATGAAAAACTCCACCAAAACAGCTCGAGGGTAACATCGATCGATAGAGGATGACGAAATTCATCAGGATCGACTGCTCTGAAGCATCTGTTCATTCTCCTTCAAAAATAATATCCATCGTTACCTACATCTGATGCTAAAAGCTATATATATACAAGGGTAAAACTGGTAATTCACTCCACTACTTGGGCCATTGCCCGACCAACTTATTAAGAAACCAACAATTGGGCTTAGCCCAGTACAAATAAATACAAAAGTGGCCCAATCCTTCAAGTAATAGCACTATCTCTAATAGTTATCAATTCAAACTTTACTAAATTTTTGTAATGGAACGTATTGAACAATTTGATCTTACAAAAGGAAGACTTTGTGATAGAACGAGATTGAGGAATTTGTGGTTGCAAAGGAAACTTTCTGCTGAGTCTCAATTTAATTAGGAATTCATTGCATATTATATATTAACCAATTTTGTACAAAATATCCTGACTTTTACTTATTTAAGTATTTGTGGAGTGTGAATACGTATATAATCTCGTCCGCCAATATCTCTTTTGTGGCCATCTCTCCAACTCCAAGATACGCAAGCATACTTTTTTCTTTTTCCTTCACAACCTCACAACTTTTTGTTTTTGGATGCATAGAGAAAGTGATATGTCCGAGTTTATTTATAGCACATATAAAACAACTCGCCATATGAATATAACTTAATGATATGTTGAAGAAAACTCGAATTTGTAAAACAATAGATTATGAATCAAATTCTATCTACTTTAGCACTCATATTATCAAGTTCATCAACACATGTAGAAAAAAATTCTTATTATTTGTGATCCTAAAAATTTAAAATTATATTATCGTTTGGAGATTGTTTCTTTATTAGACTTTTCTTGAATTATTTGGTCATGATTTTTGTTGTAGGATCTACTTGAAGATCGAAGAGGAAGTAAAAGAAGAATTAAGTAAGAAAAATAAATTTTCCTGTACCATACCAATTCGATATTTATACCAATTGTCTGTGAATTTCTTTTCCTGCACTTTCATATATGTTTTCTAAAGAGTTTGCACTTCAATTTAACCTTTTTTTTTTTTAATTTGATTGAAAATGATGTCCAACAGGCCTTGGTATGTATATAGGGTCTTATTTTTGTTGGAATAATTGCTGATACACACAAGGCCCAAATAGACAAGGAGGATGGCCCAAATTAGATATCCAGATATTTATGTTAGGGATTATTGTATTTTTGGGTTAGGCTAGTTTTACTTTCCGGGTATTTTGGCCCAACCTAAATAATAGGCCCAATGTAAATTTTGAAAATTAACGTTAAGAAAAAATTAAGTGCACGAATATATTATAAAAATTATAAATAAAAAAATATTAAGTTATTTTATTTATAAATAAAACACATAGTTAAAAATATATTATATAGTATATAATATAGAAAGTATTACATAAATATGAAGGTTTATATAATATTAAGGGCATAATAGACTTTTCAAGTAAAAATGTGACTTTTGTGATAACCAGAGCAAAGTAAAGTGATTTTTGTGTAACAAAAGAAAGAAAAGTGACTTTTGTGTAATGAACACAAAGTTGAATGATTTTTATGTAACAAAAAAAAAAGTAACTTTTGGGTAACAAACACAAAAGTTCAATGACCATGGATAAAATTAACTCGTGGATTAAATTATCTGCGACAATGTTTATTTGTATTGCAAATTACATCAATGGGTTATTTTATTACAATTATTGAGTATTTTGTTCTGTCTTTGCAATCTACTGATATAATTCAAATATTTTTGTTGTCAACTATGTAAAATAATGCTTTTCAAAAACTGTAGATGATCGATTGGTGAATTACATTATCCGTGATTGTGTTTATTTATTTTGCAAATTACATTAATGGGTTGTTTTATATCCCTATTCTCTTCTGTTTTTTTGTTGTTTCTAAATGTCCATGATCACTTAGGATCCTACCTTAAATAGTAGGATTATTTAGATTTTCTTTTTGTTGCTTTACATAGCAGGAACCAATGCCACTGGAAGTCCTCTTGATAAATTCGTTTAAGCAAAATATTTGAATTGGAAAAAAAAAATACTCCATATAAGTGAAAGAAACAAAGGAGAAGCCTATTTTATTTAAATGCTCGAATAATAGTTAGGAGTTGGGTCAATAAAGCGTGAAATTATAGTTGGGTCATATTGTAGGAGTACTAATCGTCACCTTCTACTCCAATTATAGTTAGGAGTATTAAATTTATCCTTCTAAGTGTAACGACCCGGCCGGTCGTTTTGAATATTACAATCCCGTTTTCCCATTTACTGCTAAATTCATGCTTTACAGTTGTTATGTGACTTGCCGGGGTAATTGGTTCGGGTCCGGGGAGGTCTTGAAATGAATTGAGACACTTAGTCTCCAAGAAGAAAGCTTAAGTTGAATAATTTGACCGGAAGGTGAAATATGCGTAAATGACCCCGGAATGAATTTTTGATGATTCCAATAGCTCCGTATGTTGATTTCGGGTTTAGGGGTGTGTCCGAATATTTCTTTCGAGGTCCGTAGCTAAATTAGGCTTGAAATGGCGAAAATAAGAAATTTAAGTTTGGAAGTTTGACCGCGGAGTTGACTTTTTGATATCGGGGTCGAAATTCAGTTCTGAAAATTTTCCTAGCTCCGTTATGTCATCTATGACTTGTGTGCAAAATTTGAGGTCAATCGGACTTGATTTGATAGGTTTCGGCATCGAATATAGAAGTTGGAAGTTCTTAGTTTCATTAAGCTTGAACTGGGGTATGATTCGCGGTTTTTAGCGTTGTTTGATGTGATTTGAAGTTTCGACCAAGTCCGCATCATGTTTTAGGACTTGCTGGTATATTTGTTTGGGGTCCGAGGGACTCGGGTGTGTTTCGGGTGTGTTACGGATCATTTTGGGCTACTTTGGATGTTGATTTTCTGATATCTGGTGTTGTTATTCGCGTCCGCGAGGAGCCTCTCGCGTTCGCGGAGAAGAATTTGGCTTCTGGAAGTTTGTTCAACGCGTTCGCGAAGAGATTCTCGCGTTCGCGAAGAAGAAAATCTCGGTTGCACAGGTCTGACTTCGGAGGCTCATATCTCACAATCTATAAGGAATTTGGAGATGATCTAAAATTAAAGTTGTAGCTCTTTGTGCCTAGTTTTCAAAAATGTAAATTAATTGGCATTTATATTTGTGTACAAAAAGTTATGGTAGTTACACTACTGGCTGTCCGGGGGGAGTTTGAAAATCTCTGCTGCACAGGGCTGACTTTGGAAGCTTATATCTCGCAATATATAACGACTCAGGAAATGAGCAGCCTATGAAACTAAAGCCCTTGGTATCTAGTTTTCAGAACTTCAAACCAATTGTTATTTGGAGTTGTGTGCAAAAAGTCGTGACCATTATACTAAAGGTTATCTGGAATGAGTTTGGAAATCGCTGATGAGGAATTTGTTCATCGCGAACGCGAGGGAAGGGTCGCGAACGCGAAGAACAAACCCCTGGGCAGCAGAATAAAGTCCAAATTCGTCACATTCTTCCATTTTCGGACCAAGGAAGCTCGGGTGGGGCGACTTTTCGAGGGATTTTCAGAGAAAACAACGGGGTAAGTGTTCTTAACTCAATTTTGGTTAGATTATCCGAATCTATTACTAATTTTAGCATTTAATTTGTGATTTAAGTTGGAAAAGTTTGAAAATCCTCTTGGATTAGATTCTAGGATTTGGGGGTCGAATTGTTATCGGAATTTAGTAATTTTGGTATGGTTAGACTCGTAATTAGATGGGCTTTCATNAAAGCATCTACAATCAGAATACAAATAATCTACAATTTATCTACAAAATATCTACAACTAGGTACATTGAATTTTATATCCCAATTCCATCTATAGCAGCATAATTGGGATTTTTGACATAATTGCGTTTTTTCAGAAGATTTGTAGAAGTTTTAGCCGTTTTTTATTTGTGAAAACAGAAAATAAAGCATCTACAATCAGAATACAAATAATCTACAATTTATCTACAAAATATGTAATATGTCTTCTTCTTCGAGTTTCAAACTGAATTTCAGTCAAAACTAAGTCTAATCTTCACCAAAACCCCTCAAAATTGAGATATAAACTCCAAACCATATTCCCGATTATTTTCAACAACATCCAATCCAAACAAATAATGATTTTTGAAAACCCAAATTTGAATTCAAAGCTTTCAAGCTCTGTAATGGCTATCAATGGTGGAAAATATCTGGAAGAATATTTACTTCCATAAATGTAGCGCGCCTAAATAGGAATATCTGGAAGAATATGATTTGATCTGATTTACGCCAAATCTTTTTAGAATATTCTGTTCCTCAATTTTAGCTTGACAAATTAGGAAGATTCAGCTACTATTAATTAGTATTTAATGATTGGTATAATAACTGTAGAAAAAATGTGGACAGGGCGGGTAAATTAGAAACTATGCACATTTTTGGTAATAAGGTTTCATATATGGTATAGGAAAGAAAAAAATCTCTTTTTGATAATCGCAAATTGCCGAAGGCCCGTGAGGCCCAGCTCGAAACTAACTAGATAATGGCGGCCCCTTTAACCTTCTCCACTTAAATATCAGGCTTTTGTCTTGACACGGTTCAAACATGTGACGTGCACCTAATCCACACATCATTGCTACACTCTTACCACTAGACCAAAGCGTTGGAGCTGGGCAAGTTTAAATGTCCTTTGAGCTTATTTCAAGTTATGTGCTTGGCTTCTAGAATAATCCTTTCTAAAGCCTGTGTCAAGCTCTGAGCAACCGTTGAAGGAGAGATATATACTAGATGTTATCTTGAGCCATATGGGTTGAATTGTGGAGGACTTTAATCTATTTCTTCTTCTTATGTTTAATAAGGTCGAAATTGCTTGATAGGTTCGCCAGTTGTAAGATAGTATGTTGAGCCAAATGGTTCCCTAGGAATGAAGTTCGTCAAAAAGAAACTTGCTTGCTTCCAACATTCTCGAGTATCAGGAATGTTTAACTGTGGAATTTCATTATCCAATTATTTCAAGGTGCTAGGTCCAGAACTGAACTTTTAGGTCAAGGTTTGAAAATTTTCCTATTTGGAAAACGTTAGTTATAACTAGATTACCAACAGGTTAAAGGACTATCGCCAGAGGAACTGGAGACACGCGGTGATTTGGTGCTTATGCTATCAGAGAGAATTCAGGCAATACCTGATGGGAGTACAGATGCAGCCAAAAGAACAGGAGGTTTTGGGACTTCATCATTCAACAAAAATATTAAATTTGACTCAGGTAATAATCAGGGCATAAATTATGTGTTTTAGCTTACGTTGCAATTGGTTCCTGGGTTTCTCATGATGTCAAAAACCCATATTAGATGGACAGTTCGACGATGGTTTCTACCAGCAAACTGCAGAGGCCACTCATTTTAGAGAAGAGTACGAGATGCGGAAAATGAAACAGGCTTGTAACTTGCCAATTCTTATTCTCTCAGTTCCTTAATTCCTTTTGCTCTGTTGGTTTACTTGGAACCATCACATAACTGAATGTTGAATTCCACAGGATGAAGGGTTAGATATTATTTCAGAAGGACTAGACACACTGAAAAATTTGGCTCGTGATATGAACGAGGTTGCCCTCATCCCCAAACTTGCCTCCCATACATTATGTGATTCTGTTCTCTGGAATAAAACTTTTTCTTGATCGTCATTTAATTCCACTTTGTTTCAGGAATTGGATAGGCAAGTTCCTTTGCTTGACGAAATTGACACAAAGGTTAGATTGATTTCTTAAATCTCCTTTTATTGGATTACTATAACAAACACTTAATTAGTTTGGTTGTCTTACAGGTGGATAAAGCAACCACCGATATCAAAAGCAATAATGTCAGACTCAAGGAAAACATTAACAAGGTAATCCTGAAGTTTATTAGAATTCCTACTCCCCTGTCCAGTTCAAACTTCAAAATGCAGAACTTTTTTTTTCCCAACTCAAATATTTATGAGGTCTATGCACATTTGTAATTTTTTCTCCAGATAAGGTCCAGCAGTAACTTCTTTATCGATATAATACTTATCTGTATCTTTCTTGGAATTGTCGCCTACCTTTACAAGTGAGTATCTATCTTTGGAGATTACTTTACATTGTTTCTTCTTTTACAGCTTTATGATACCTTCTTTGATGATTACTTTAGGCTTTACAAATACCTTCTTTTATGTGCTTAGAAAGTCATCAGGCCCTGTATAGTGATTCCACCAGTAATTATGTGTAGCTCTAGGCTTGCTAACCTGCTGTCAGTAATATCTTAAGCCTGCTTAGAAGAAAATGAGGACATGAGAGATTCTGAGTGACTCAGTGTTCAAACTGGCTAAGGCATTAGATTGATTTGGTTTGAAATATATCAAGAGATAATTTTATCCATGGTCATTGAACTTTTGAGTTTGTTACCCAAAAATCACTTTTCTTTTTTTTGTTACGTAAAAATCATTCAACTTTGTGTTCATTACACAAAAGTCACTTTTCTTTCTTTTGTTGCACAAAAATCATTTTACTTTGCTCTAGTTATCACAAAAGTCACATTTTTACTTGAAAAGTCTATTATGTCCTTGATATTATATAAACCTTCATATTTATGTAATACCTTCTATATTATATACTATATAGTAATATATTTTACCTATGTATTTTATTTATAAATAAAATAACTTAATATTATTTTATTTATTATTTTTATAATATATTCGTATATTTAATTTATTTCTTAACGTTAAATTTCAAGATATATTAATAGCGTTATTAAATTTGTCACTAACTTTAATATATATTAGTAGAGAAATAAATCGGCAAGTACATTTCCGTGAGAAAATTCGTAGGTAAACAAACCAAGAAAATGAGGAAAAAAATCATATGTTAATCTGAAGGAAAATCCCTAGGTAACTCTACATGCGAAGGTATGTATAGTTATATAGTATATAATATAGAAGGTATTACATAAATATGAAGGTTTATATAATATCAAGGGCACAATAGATTTTTCAAGTAAAAGTGTGACTTTTGTGATAACTTGAGCAAAGTAAAATGATTTTTGTGTAACAAAAGAAAGAAAAGTGACTGTTGTGTAATGAATACAAAATTAAATAATTTTTACGAAAAATAACTTTTGGGTAACAAAAACCTAAAAGTTCAAAATTAATTAACTCGACTTTCCCAATTTGTACTTGTGTAACAAAAAGTCACCTTAAATATTTAACTTGTTTGAAAAAGGATATACGGCTGATGAAGTGAATCAAAACTCTTATTGTTTCCACACGCAGAAAAAACAAAACAGAAAAAGAGAAAAAGAAGAAAGAAAAGAATAGAAGCAATGAGAATACATAGGAAAAATATTCTTTATTTTATTCAAAAGGATACCGTATTAATTACGTAATTCAGAAACGAACAAGAGCCACTGTCCATCCACTAGGAGTCCAGGACCATCAGAAAAGAATCCTTATCTCTCCAAAACATGCTAGATAAGACACGTGTCGGACAAAAGGTCAATTGAAAATATTGCTACAGCCTAATTAATCTTTTCCAGATTTCTCTCGTCAATATCGATTGGATTATTATCGCTATTAATTTAGAAAAATAGAAGTATTTTTTTATGGGACCAACCGTTTCAGTTTTTTGGATCTTCAGGTTTCAAATCAATGCTCCGAATACGATACTTTATTCTAAATAGAATAATAGGGGTTCATATTGCAGAAATTCTAGAAAAGACGATTCCTTTGGCAAAAAAACAGAAGAGAATGAGAATCTCATACCATAACTCCTATTGAAATATCGGTCCCCTTTTTTACAACGTTTCAGAACCTTATTGGACCGTACCAGCCGCTTATTTCTAGTGCTATTTCTGTTGTTTTTTTTTATAAATATTGAGATCCACAAAAGGACAAATAACACACTGTTAGCCCTTCTCGGTAGAAAGAGTGATTTTGCCCAATTGACTCTCTCGAGACTAATTGGGTATGCATATTTGCCCAAGCAACTAGGGTTCAAGTCGGGTAATTACTCTCTCGAGGTTTACCCTTTAATTGGGACTATCAAATCTCTTGAGTCCATCCCAATTCCTTGTTGAGTCAATTTTGTTGACTTAGGCTCTCTTTCTCAAGAAGAGCCCAAGTCAACTTAGCACAAACTAGTGTTTGCAACCACTAATTCATAAATTAAACCATAAAATTGACCCAAATAACAAACACCCATAATCAATCTAACCTTAAATCACAACACCCATCAATTACCCACACTAGGGTTGAGCCACAACCCTAGCTAATGGGTTTAGCTACTCATTCTTGAAGATAAAATCAGAGAAATAGATGAAGAGAAAGACATATTAATTAATTACTAATGTAAATACAAAGTTTCAATGATTAAAACTACGTAAAGATGCCAAAAATGGCTAAGAAATATCGTCTCACGAGCGCAGGTACAGTATTGTAATTTCTGATATCCTAAAAATGGAAATTTTTTCTATTTATGCTAAGCTGGAAAAACTGGACAAAATTGCCCATGCGGGGTCAGTGCGAACCGCACAAAATGGTGTGCGGCCGCACAAAATGGTGTGCGGCCGCACTAGGCTCTTGACTCTGAAAAATCAACTCTCTGAACCCAGGCTCCGCGGACCGCATAGAATGGACTGCGGCCGCGGAGGCATCTAGCGCGGTCCGCACAAACACGATCGCGGACCGCACAGGCTTGAACCTTGGCACTTGACATCTCTCTGAAGTTTGCTTCCGCGGACCGCATAAAATGATAGTGCGGCCGCGATGTCTTCAGTGCGGGCCGCACAATATCTACTGCGTCCGCACTGCTTTGATGCCTTAAAATCCAGGTCTTTGAATCTCCCTAGTGCGGACCGCACAAAGTGTAGTGCGGCCGCACTAGGCCTGTTTGTCCTGAGTTGTCTTGTCTTTGGTACTTGTGCAGGTTTTACTCCTTTTGAGCCGATCTTTGACATCACGTCACTTTGTTGATCAAACCTGCAATCAAGCACAACTTATGAGCCTTTTGGGACTATTTTGTAAGAATTTATAATCAAAGCGTAAGCAAGAAGGAGCATGAAACACGTCAAAATTCCTAGTTATCAACTCCCCCAAACTTAAGCTTTTGCTTGTCCTCAAGCAAACAAAATAAGACCCACCCCTTAAGGGAAAATCCAAGAAATTTTCAGCGTTCCTAAAACAACCTCAACTAGCATCAATTGGGACTAACAATTGCCCTCGACACACATGAGTCATTAACAATATTTAACCTTTGAAAAACCATGGATGAAGTGCGACACAAGAGCATCAAGAGTTGACTCAACACATCAAAGAACTCTTTTCAATTACTTTGGTCATTGTGGAACCCAAACTCACACATCCCCAACTCTCCCTAAGCAAACCTCACCTTTAGAATAGTGGCACACAAAACGAGGTTAATAGGAATTCACTCATCTCTCTCAAGGAAAGGTCACAAGTCCGGCTCTAGGTACCGTATGCTTGCCCCTTATGTAAGTATCCACTAATGTAAGCGTCATTCAACTCAAGATCATATAGGGCTTTTGTGGAGTCATTGTGAAGGCTTTTGGTTTAGGGTAGGACAAGTTTTTGTTTAAGTGGGTTCCATCTTTCCTTAAGCACTTCTTTTGATTCATTTGGCACAATTCACTTGACTCTTTGAGTCATTTCACTTCTTTCTAAGGGGTTAGAGAGACACATTGTCACTCTTTCTTATGCATTTCAAACGTTTTCTCCTTTTTCAACTTTCCACACCTTTCTTTCTTTGCTTTTCTTGAATCCCTTTGTAGTCTTTTTCACCTTTTTGTCTTTTTGCTTTTCTTTCTTTTCCTTTTCTTCACTTTTGTGCCTTTTTATCACTTTGTTGCAATCCTCGTCTCTCCCCCCAAACTTATACTTTTGCCATGTGCTAAAGGAAAGATTTGGGTGCCAAGAGAGGGTATCTTTTAGAACGGGTATAGGCTTGTATCATGGTTCTTGAAAGAAAAAGGTTTAAGGCTCAAAAGGGTTGACTAGGGATCTTATCACTGGTAGGCTATGGAATTGTTCAATCTATCATCTGGATCAAGGAGAGCCTATAATCACGTCTCAAGTCAAAATTCACTTAGGATTTCGCCTCAACAAACATTCAGGGCAAGTTCTAGACCAAGGGCTCGGGACTTGGACTCGCAATTCAATTACTCACCACACAAGCTAAGGGATTACTAAAGACATAGAGTCGGGGGCCCACAACGACCTTAGAAATGATTTGAGCACACAGTGGTCCCGAAAAAGCACTTGATGATTATCGGTCAACACAAGAGTCTCAAGGTCACGACTTTCACCATCCTAAACACAACAATTTGTTTTTGACCATAAGATCAAAGGCAAATGTGCTAGGCCCAAGTGAAGCTTTGCTTGAGGTACCCTAAACTACAAACTACTAATAACAAAAAGAAAAACGGACTCAAACCCTTAAGAAGGTTGTCACGCCATCTATCATTTGGAAGAGCCACCCGGTTCACACAAAATTCCACCTTTGGAAAGAACCGTGGCATTAAGAAAACCAAAGGTTTATTGAAAACTCCGAAAAAAAGCTACGAATCACAAATAAGAAGCTAAAAACGAATTTTTTTGCGGAAAACAGAATAAATATATACAAGAGGGGAAAACAGAATAAATATATACAAGAGGGATTTGAATATACAATGGGGGATGAATATATACAGTATGATGTAACTTTATATACAGACCAAAAGTGAAATAAAAGTGCGATAATATCAAATTATATACACACCAAATGTGAAAAGTCAAGAAAGCATAAAAATGTCAATATATACAGTCATCCAAAATGTAGGGCTCACCCCCTCAAATGAAAGCTGGCATTGTCCCCAATGCCAACTAGTCTAAATAAGCACCAAAAAGATAGAAAAAGGATCTCCCTAAGCTGTGTCTGTCTGCATAGGATCATGGGTGGTCCCTAGGTCCTCTGTGTGCTCGGGAACCTTAGACTGGTCCCCGGTGGTCTGCTCCTCAGCTACTGGAACCTGGGCCTGGACCTCGACAGGCTGTGGGACTGGTACATCCTGTGGCTGACTGGA